TGCAGGGTCAGCTATGAGTTTGTGCTCACTGAAAGGCAATAGAGACAAGAGGGTGTCCTGGTGGTGGAGGCTGGAGCCTGCTGCACTGCTCAAGAAAACACTGTCATCTCCAAGGGTGCGAATCCACCTGCGGCTCTCCTCTGAGGAAAGACAGGACTTCTCTCCTCCTGTCAAGATTTACAGCCCCAGAAATCTGACAGAGGGCCGTATGCTTTTGAGTTTTGAAATAACTAAAATGAACTCTTTAACAGCCCCACCCTCACCAGCCTCCCCGCCTGCTACCCTGCAAAGTGGGGAAGAGAGAGCTGGGGAAGGCAGGGCTGAAAACAATGACCACTTTGCCCCTGTTCTTGGTCTTCAAGATTCTAACAGAATGTACCTCAAGAGGTCCCCTCACAGCCTCAGGAGTCACTGCTGAGGCCTCTCCCTGCTAGACGCCACCCCTGCTCTGGAGAGATGGGGAACAGAAGTGTGCAGCTGATCCCTCTGGGGATTAGGCGTCCACAGGAGTCTGTGGCTCACCCCATTCTGAGGGGACAGCAGGTGAGACCCCCAAGCATCCAGCCTGCACCCCAAGCTGCTCCACCTCAAAGAAGCCTGGAAGGAGTCAGGGAAGGGTGAGGGGACAGGAAGATGGGGCTGCCAGGGAGAGGGGACAGCGGGCGGCTTGTGGCCAGGTCTGTGGGCCTGGTTTCTCACAGCCTCAGGCCAGCCGGGGACAGAGGCCAGCTTGACTACCTCATTGATGAGAGGTGGGGTCTACTAGGGGAGCGACAAGGTAGAAGAGAAACCAAAGCTCTGAATCATTCCCTACAAAGCGTCACAGCTCTGAGGTGAGGGATAAACCTTGCTCTGGAAGGAAGAGTCCACCCTGAGCAGTGCTGGGGCCTTGGGATCGCACTAGGCCAGCAAGGGGGGAGTTCTGACTGAAGAAACCAAGACCCTACAGGCTCCTCAGGGGCCCACTCTCCACACAGTGGTGTGTGCCTGGGGTCAGTGTGGTCAGGAGACTGAGGAGGATGAAGTCAGGACAAGCACTGGTTCAGGAGTCACGCGTTTGAGTACCATCTCCACCACTCATAGGACACAGGGCCAACACCCCACACCCTCTGTGCCTGTTTCCTCAGTAAGACAGAGGCTGGGGCTTCACTTCCTTTACAAGGAGGGCTGTGAGAACAAGGAGCCTGCAGAGCAGAGCCTCCAACGTGAGCCCAATAGTGATTCCGAGGGAGCCCCACTCACACCCTGGAGGCTGGCAGGCCCTACACCCAGGTGCCCACTCCCGGGCACTGCCTCCCAGAGACAAAGCCCTTTTGGGGGGCCAAGATCAACATCGAGTGGCTCACCTGGCCGGGACCGCTTCCTGGAGCAAGTCGTCACAGGTAGGCCTAGAGGGGCCTCTGCACAGCCCAGCAGAGCCTGGAGCCTGACAGACACAACAGGGTGCAGGCCTTGGCAGGCCCAGCCACGCCTGGGGGATCCTGCAGCAGGGGAGGGGTGGGGCGCTCTGGGTCCCAAACGTAGCTCTGAATTCAGATCCCCGCTGTAAAAACGGAAGCTCCGTGCAAGTGTGCACAGGATTGCAGAGTTGAGGAGCAAGGACCCCCTCTTCAAACACAAGCTACAGGCCCTATGGGCACCAGGATCCCTGTCCTTCCTCCCCCAGGACATCCTTAAAACCAACAGAGGAGGCAAGCTCTGGTGGCCTAGTGGCAGGAAACTGCACTGCAATCCCAGAGTTGCGTGGTTCAAATCCATCAGATGCTCTGCTGAAGAAGGAGGAACAATCTCCTCCTGTACCAGTCAGATCCAACTTGATGGTTACACACATAAAAAGAGAAAAGAAATAAAATTAAAAAAAGAGTAGTGAAAACCAACAGAGGGGACAGCACTGTGTGATGAGAGAGCTCCTGGTCACCCAGAAACAGTCACTAGACATGAGAGGGAAAGCTCACTACATAGACACCGCTGCTAGAAGACAGATCATGTTTATCCAGGGAAGAGGCGATCTCAGAAGGCTTCTTGCAGGAGGTGGCATTAACATGGGCTCTGAGGATCATTAGTTTTTAGACTGAGATCTGTGTGGTTACTACCCAGTTGTGACCAGCCTTGGGCAAGTCACACATCTGGAGCAGGCAGGTGAGCAGATTGTCTTGGAAAAGTGGGAGGCCAGGTGGAGCCCCATCACACTAAAACCACATTGCCTGCCTACAGTGCTGGGACACCAGAAATGGGACTGCAGGAAAGAAAGGAAGTCAGAGCTCAGGAACAGTCTAACACGGAGCCAGGGCATTGCAACCACTTGATAAATGAGCCACTGTAATGATACAAAGTGGAGAGGTAGCCCCCGGAACGGGGGAGCCCCCAAGGCAGGAGATGAAGTGGGGATTGAAGAGCCTTTAAGGCGGAACCTCAGGAATGGTGAGAGATCTCCCTAGGGGCTGGACAGGGCAGTCGTCCTTCCCGCTAAGGGCAATGTCCTGGAGACAGGCCAACCAGGACTTCAATACAGCTTTGTGACTCCGAGGCACGTCCCTTCACACCCCTGAGCCTCAGTTTCCTCATCTGTAAAATGGGGCTGTCAGGATGGAATTGTGTGCCCCAGAATATACATCTGTTAACTTGGGCAGGCCAGGATTCTCAGTAAGGAGGATTTAAGAGGTAATGGTGCCCATGATCTGATGTAAATCATTAAGAGTGGGATGCAGCACCCCGAATTCCATCACAGCACTGATATGCAAGGGGACTCGCTCTGGAGTGTGACTTACAGCTCCTTTGATTTTAAAGGAGAGAATGGAGACAGAAATGAGCAGAGAAGAGGACCCCAGTATCATCAAGAAAGAGTGAAAGCTGAGTATGGCTTTGAACCCTGATCTTTGTGCTGGGAAGTTCCTCAATACAGGGGGCTCTCCAGGGAATGGTGGGCCCACAGATGCTGAAAGGAGACAAGGAACTTTCTCTAGAGTCAGCACCCCAAATTCAGACCTCCAGTCTCCTAAATGCTGAGGGACTAAATGTCTATGTAAAGTTGTCCATTCGTGGTACAGAACCAAGGTGAAGTGAGGCTAAAAGTTGCTACTTCAAAAGACGGCTGGTGGAACTCCGGTGGCCCAGTGGCAAGAAGCTGCACTGCAATCCCAGAGGTATGAGGTTCGAATCCACCAGATGCTCTGCTGGAGAAGGAGGGGCACTCTCATCCTGTACCAGTCAGATCTGATTTGACGGTACTCACACAAAAATAATAAAATAAAATAATTTTTTTTAATTTTATTGGTTTTTTGTGTGTGTACCATCAAATCAGATCTGACTAGTACAGGAGGAGATTGCCCCGCCTTCCTCGGCAGAGCATCTGGTGGATTTGAACTGTGAGCCTCTGGGAATGCAGTGCAGCTTCTTGCCACTAGGCCACCAGAGCTCCCCAAAATAAAATAAATTTTTTTAAAAAAAAGACTGCTGGGAGAATGTGGCACCATGTAGGTATCATCAGGTGATAATGAGGCAGCTTTGACTCCTAACAACGCCCCCGTACAACCGATCGAAAGCTGGCCTGATCCTACACTATCCCCAAAAACTCTGCTGATGCTCAAGTTCATGGCTGCAGTCACCTGTGTCAACCTATCTCATTGGTCATCTTGCTCTTCTCTGACAACTCTCTACTTTTCCAATGATGTCTCTCTCCAAGGACCAGCCCAGCCTGATCACATACCCAAAGCATGAGATGCCGGAGAAGATCCCAAACCATTAGCCACATGAGCTATTCCCACGACTATCACCATCATCATCATCATCACCAAGTACAGTGTAGGGCAATTTCTGAAACCCAGCAGTATGGTGTTTGGGGCCAGGCCATTCTCTGTGGTGGGGACTGTCCTGTGCACCGCAGGACCTTGAGCAGCATGCAGGGGCCCTACCCACCAGATACCCGGAGCTCCCTCATCTGCAGACATTGTCAAAGGTCTCTGGGGGGCAAAATCCACCCCCAGTGTTGAGCGTGGGATCACAGAGGAGATGACACAAAGTAAAGCTTGTGGTAAACAGATGAGGTGTCCATGGCAGTTCCGGCCTCAATTTTATCCATCAGGAAAAGGGACGAGGTGACCCCTCCCTACTTTTTGGGTGGTGGGGTGGGGAGGTTTTTCTAAATTGTAAAGGGTCACAGGCCAGCCCTCCTGACTGGTTCAAGGCTGACCTCAGGAAGGAGCAATCCGAGTGGTGGACAGAGGATTGTCTTTAGTGGGTTACTAGGGCCTGGGCCTCCCTGCTCATCAGGAAACCATGGTTGTTCTGTCTGTATACAGCAGGTGTTCAATAAATGTTGAAAGTCTACATGAGCAGGCATAGCATGGAGTTGGAGAAAAGAGGGATACAGAAGTGGGGAGGCAGCCCCATGTCTACAGAAGTGGGGGAGGCAGCCCCATGTCTACAGAAGTGGGGAAGGCAGCCCCATGTCTACAGAAGTGGGGAAGGCAGCCTATGTCTACAGAAGTGGGGAGGCAGCCCCATGGACACAGAAGTGGGGAAGGTAGCCCCATGTCTACAGAAGTGGGGGAGGCAGCCCCATGGACGCAGAAGTGGGGAAGGCAGCCCCATGGACGCAGAAGTGGGGGAGGCAGCCCCATGGACGCAGAAGTGGGGGAGGCAGCCCCATGGACGCAGAAGTGGGGGAGGTAGCCCCATGGACGCAGAAGTGGAGAAGGCAGCCCCATGGATGCAGAAGTGGGGGAGGTAGCCCCATGTCTACAGAAGTGGGGGAGGCAGCCCCATGGACGCAGAAGTGGAGAAGGCAGCCCCATGGACGCAGAAGTGGGGAGGCAGCCCCATATCTACAGGAGTGGGGAGGCAGCCTCCACGTATAAAGAAGCAGGGAAGGTAGCCTCCATGTGTTGACCTGCTGGGCCCCTAGTGGGTGGGCAGACACCACTTCCTGTCGGCAAGCCTGACTGTGCCCTTTGAACTCTGCTTCCTGAGCCCCTCTCCCTTGGGGAAGGGCCCGTACTCACACTCTTGAAGGAGCCCAGCCCTGGGCAGCCCAGCCACCGTCGCAGCGCCTGCGGGAAGGCCCCGTGGTCCCGCTCAGCCTGGAGCACATGGGCTTCCAGGAAGGCGACGTGGTGCCCCACCATCTTGACGAAGGCCTAGGGGAGAGGGAGAGGAGTTACCACATCTGCCTGGGATTGGAGTGCATTCCTGGCTGTGCTCCCTGCCGCCTGGCCTGGCGGGGATGACAGCCCTTAATCACTTCCACCCGCCTGGCAGGCCCCTGGGCTCGGCCTAGCTGCATGGAGGGGCCCCTTGAGCTCCCAGCAGGAGCCCATCAGGCTTCCTGTCACCTCTCCCCAGTGGTGACCCTATGCTCACCTTCATTTCCCAAAGGAGGAAACCTCCCCTCAGACTCAGAGAGGGTGTGTAACCTCTTCAAAGTCACACAGCCAGGAGTGACAGAGAAGAGGACTCAAGTGTACATATGTTAGATTTCAAAGCGTTTTTATTAGGAAATAGATTTTTTTAATTAAAAGAAATTATTAAGACTCACTTTATTAGCTGGTGCATATCAAAACAAAAACTAAAACTTGTTGCCATCAAGCTGATTCTGGACAAGCTGATTAGGAGTAAAATTGCCCCATTGGGTTCTCAAGGCTCAAGTCTTAAAAGAGGTGGACCGCCACATCTAAAGAGAAATTATGTCAGCTTAAAGACTAGGGTGCATGCAACCCAAGCCAAGGTGTTTTCCGTTGCTTCTAATGTACCTTAAAGTTAGACAATGAATAAGGATGATGGAAGAATCAGTGCCTTTTCTTTGTGGTGTTGCTGTCAAAAGAACAAATAAGTTCTTCTTGGAGGAAATGCAACCAGGGTAGTCTTTCGAGCCAAGGATGGTAAGAGTTTTCTCACAGACATGGGGCATGTTGTCTGGCGGGGGCCAGTCCTTGGTAAAAGACAGCATGCTGGGAAAGGTGGAGGGTCTGAGAAAAAGCTTCCCAACAAGACGGACTGACGTGACGCTAGCAGTGGCCTCGAGCGTGTCAGAGAAGGTGAGGTGCAAGACAGAGCAAGGTTCAGGTCCGCTGTTCATCACAGGGTTGCTACGAGCAACAGTGGATTCAATGACACCTAACAGCAACAACAATAACAACAACATGTGCTGATAAGTGCTGAGCACATCTTAAAGACTCAAGAGGTGTTAGTATAATTTTAAAAGGGAGACTAAGGTGTGTCTGATACAGGCCATGGTCTTTGCAATCACTTGTTATGCATCAGAGAGTTGAACAATGACTAGAGAGGATAGAAGGATAATTGATGCCTTTGAGCTGTGGTGCTGGAGAAGAGTATTGAATGTACCATGGACTGCCAAGAAAACAAACAGATTCATCCTGGAGAGAGATAACCAGGCTACTCCTTGGAGGCAAGGATTTTGGGGCTTTGTCTGAAATACTTTGGACATGTTGTAAGGAGGGACAGGTCCTTGGAGAGGAACATCATGCTTGGGAGGGTGGAGGGACAGTGCAGGAGGGGAAGACCCTCTATGAGGTGGATTGATTCAGTGACTGGGGTAATCGGGATGGGTGTGTCAGAGACAGTGTGATTGGCACAGGACAGAGCAGAGTTTAGGGCTGTTGTACATAGGGTCGCTATGAGTCGCAATCGACTTGACAGCACATAACAACAACAACATCTAGAATTTATGTAAAAATCTTCCCATTTTTTGTATGTGTGTTAGTCATGTTGTCGCTGTTATGTGCTGTCAGGTCACCTGCAACTCATAGCAACCGTATGTACAACAGTTCTGAAGCCTTCCCTGTCCTGACCCACTCTCACTGACCCCGACACATCTAGCCCCACTGCCTCAGTCACTGTGTCAATCCATCTCATCCAGGGTCTTCCTTTTCCACATTGTCCCTCCACCCTTCCGAGTATGATGTCCTTCTCCAAGGATCGGTCCCTCCTGGACACATGCCCAAGGTGTGTGAGACAGAGCTTCAAAATCTCAGCCTCCAAGGAGAAATTTGGTTTCACCCTCTGCAAGACCAAGTTGTTTTCTTGGCAGTCCATGGTACGTTCAAGACTCTTTTCCAGCACCACAACTTAAAGGTATCAATTCTCCTTCTGTCATCCTTAGTCATTGTCCAGCTTTCTGATGTATAACAAGTAATTACAAAGACCAGGGCCTGCATCAGGCACACCTTAGTCTCTAGACAGACACTGCTGCTTCTCAGTACTCTCAAAAGGTGCCTGACAACTGAGGCACAAACTGAGATTTGTACATCAATGTTCATAGCAGCATTATTCACCACTGCAAGAACATGGAAACAGCCCAAATGACCAACCACAAACGAATGGATTAAGAAATTATGGTACATTCACACAATGGAATATTGTGCAGCACGCAGGAGCAATAATTTTGTAAATTATTACCTAACTTGGGAGGTACTGGAGAGCATCATGCTCAGTGAACTCAGTCCCACAAGGATAAATATTGTATAAAATCATTTTTGTGGAATGAGTGTAACGATCCAAGAGAGGAGGGAGAGGGTGGAAGCAGAGGGTTGAGGATGTGCTGGGGGAGGTGGGGTTAATCACAGGACTGTATAATTAGATAGGCGCAGGGTGAGGGAAATTGAAAGAATTTGTTCTTAAAAACATTATATTCGAATTTTGTAAATAACCTAGTAGAAATTTTTTTTTTAAAAAAAAAGAGGTCCCTGACAGCAGATTTACCTAACCCAATTTGTCTTTTGATTTCCTGACTGTACACATAAAAAAAACCCAAAAACCTTCCATATGCAGATGTAGTGAAATTCAGCTGCAAGTGGTGGGTTAACCCACACTCATTTGTGACCTCTGGTTTGTGTCTGTTCATGCCTTTCTCTCTGTTCTGTTTGTATTGTGTGTACAAATGCACATGAATAAAGTTACCACAACTGGGGACTGATACCACCTTGGACCACTCACCACTTCTGTGGGCCTCCTCTGTATCGAATACAAGTGAAGATGTTTTCTTATGTTGGGGTAGAAAGGACATCTCAGTGCTGGGTGACACCAAAGAAGCCCCTGTTCCCGTGGAGAAGAGCCCAGGGTCCTCCCAGACCTGCAAGGTCTCCTTCCAGGGTTCCCACCTTCTTTCTTCTTCTCAGTCTCACATCCCAGCGACACCAGTCTCTGTAAGAGTCCTTCCAAGTGTTGGTCCTGCTTGCCACAGGGCCTTTGCACTAACTCTCTCCTTGCCTGCAGCAAGCTTCTCTGCTCTTCCAGGTAAAGTCTGCTCATCTTCCAGACCTCTTCCTCATAGAGGCCATTCCTGACCACTGGACACAGCCTTCGAATCACTATCCCACAAGTTTCCTTGATCACATAGCCCTTACCATCTTGAGAATTTCTTAACTGTCTGTTGCCTTTCTAACATACCTGGCCCACAGAAAGTGCACCTTCCATGTTTGTTTGCCTCCCACCTCTTAGGAAAATATCTGGAGAGGGGAGGTCAAGGTTGGCACACAAACAGAAGGTGTGTTATTTATATAAAAATACAGGTATTCCCAGTCTGAGGGCAAGCTGGGAGAGGAAGGATGCTGAGTCATCTGTTGGCTGTGGCATCTCAATGCCAAGGCCAGAGCTCCCTCTGCTACTATGGGTTCAGCTGGGTGGTGGGTGAACAGATAAGGAGAGATGTGAGTGAGTGAATGAATGAAAGCATGAATGAATGAAAGCAAGCACTGACCCTTAGCACAAAGACACTGGGCAATCCAAGATGGCTACATCTGTCACCCTGTAGTGGCCCTGGGCTCCTGGGGCCTCACTCAGAGTAGAAAGACCACTGAGCCCCTCCAGGTGGGGGAGGGGGCCCTCGCAGAAGGGCTGGGAGGCTGATGTCGGGGCCAGCCGGCACATCTGGTCACACATATGGTCGTAAAACACAGAGGAAAAGAGTCCTGTCCTCCCTTCCTCCAGCCGCTTCCAATTTTATGCTCCGATGTCCAGGCCAATCTGGTGGGGAGTGAGGCAGCCTGGGGGAATGTGCGCCTCTATCGAGAGGTCTGAAAGGCTTCCAGGATGCCAGGGAGGGTAGCCTGGGCCAAGTCACCACTAGGGAGAGGCCGGGACCTTGGCGTTAAAGGGACAGGCACATGGCCCTCCGGGCAGGAGCACAGGGAAGGAGGAGGGAGGCAGCAGGGCTTTGAGGCCCTGGCCCGGGATTATGGAGGATTCCTGTGTTTTGTTGCTCTTAATTGAAAATGTACTACTGGATAATCAATTGGAAGGAGGAAAAGCAGGAGAGTGGAAAGATAAAAGGAAGAATGAAAGGTGGGAAGGAGAGGAAGAGAGAACAGAGGGAGAAGAGTGGAAGGGAGGGAGAGAGGAGAAACTCTCCAGGTCTAAATGCTGAGGTGCGTGCGCATTTCCCGTTGAGGTCCCTGGGAGCTGGCCACCCAGAGGTGCCTCAGCAGTCAAGGACACTGTCCTGCTGTCCCACCTTTTCCACTTCCTCCCCGTGTGACTCAGGACAACTCACTGCACCTCCCTGGCCTCACTGCTTTTCCTGTAAAATGGGCCAAAGAGCACAGGCCCTTCATGAAGGTACCAGGTGTGCTTGGCTGTAAAGCACCGGGAGTGCTGAGTATGTGCTCACTAAACGGGAATGTCTATTATTAACACTGATAAAGGGCCTGGTGGATCTATGGGGACGTTGGTGGTTTTCCTGTCTCCCCTCACCCCCTGTGCCACTCAGCGATGGTCTTATCCCCCACGCCCTGTCCTCAGGCTGGTAAAGTCTGTCTCTCTCTGCTTTGTGAGCAACAACAATGACAACCCCCTCCTCCTGAGACACATCTGGAGGAAATGTCACAAATGTCAAGACCAAGAGCTGAATCCTGTTTCCTCAACGGCCTCCCTCCTTCAGGACAATCATCAATGTTCTCACCCTGAACAGCAAGACCTAGACCCTGGCTGTCTTATTTCTCCAGCCCTGGAGGGCAGTTCTGGTGGCTTAGGAGCAAGGAATTGTGCTGCCAAACCAAAGGTACATGGTTCAAATCCACCAGCTGCTCCATAGGAGACAGGTGGGCAATCTCCTTCCGTGCAATTTACCACCTTTGAAAACCCACTGGAGGGTCAGCTTTGGGTCCGTTCCGACTTGACAATACTCAACAACAACCACCACCTCAAGTCACGTACTCCCCCTTTGCCACCATATGGCCACTCCAGTTCTTCCAGGGTCCCTGATACCTTCCAGGACACGAACCAAGTTCTCTCCTAGCTGTTTCCTTTACCTGCTGCCCCACTCACTAGCCCCTAGGTAAGGCCCCGAAGCGTCTACATCTCAGTCACTGCCTGCTCTTGCTTCATTCACCTAGGCCAGTCCTGGCAACGTGGTCGGTGGAACTACAGCCTCCCCAAGACATGTACATCCAGATCCCCAGGACGTATCAGCAGGTCACTTTACATGCAAAGGGGACTGGGAGTTGTGACTGAGATCAAGGACAGTGAAATGGAGAGGTGGTCCAGGGTCATGAGATAGGCCCAGTGTCCTGACGATGACAAGGGTCCTTCTAAGAAGGAGGAGGAGGTGATACGCTGACGGCTCTGAAGGGTAAGGAAGGGACCACGAGCCAAGGAACACGGACGGCCTCGGAGGTCATCATTGCCAGTCACTACGGAGTCAACGACAGTGGAATGAAACATTCCCTGGTCCTGTACCATTCACTGCCCCATCAGCAGACAGGGCCACTGTAATCCACAGGGTTTCTCCTGGCTGATGTCTAGAAATAGACTCTACGCTCTTCTTCTCACACTCAGTTCGGAAGCTCTGAGTATCACAGCCGTGCCCAAGCCTCCACTGACAGCTGACACGTGGTGGAGGGGCCTGAAGTGCATCGGCCACGAATGGAACCTGCGTCTCCTGCTGGTGAACGGAAGAAGAATCGATGCCTTGAACTGTGGTGTTGGCAGAACGTACTGAACAGACTGTTAGTTGCCAAAAGAATATACATGTCGGTTTGGGAAGAAGTACAGAGAAGAGCGGCTTTTTAGAGGCAAGGACGGTGAGATTTCGTCTCCTGCCCTGTAGGTATGTTGTCATGTTTCAGTCCCTGGAACAGGACATCACGCTTAGAACAAGAGTCAGCAGAACACAGACAGACCTTGGCCAGATGGAGCAACACAGTGGCTGTTAACACAGCACTTACGCAAGGTGGAGACCGTGAAGACGGCACAGGACGGGACTAGATTTCCTTCTGTTCCACGGGCCGCTGGGAGTCAGCAGTGACGTGAAGGCACCTCACACCGACAACGCCTGCATGGGAGGCAAGAAGTCTACCAACGAGTCCCCAACACTCCCTGGAGGCCTCCAGAGGCTGGGAAAAGCACAGGATTCTCTCCCCGGAGATTTCAGAAGGAATTAGCCCTGTCAGGGTTTTGATTCCATCTCGTGAGACTCATTTAGAACTTCTGACATCCACAGCTGCCTGGCAGTAAACCTGTGCTGTTCCCAGCCTTTAAACGCAGGTCACCTGTCATATCAGCCACTGGACATGCATCGATCACGGGCCTGTGGAGCGCCTCTCCCGGCTTTCTGTGGCCACAGGCTGTGAACAGCTTCCTCGTGTTCATAGCTACAGCGGTGCCCAGCAGGTTCTCAGAAAACAGACTGATGGTTCAGAGGAGAGTCAGTCTCGAGAGGGAGGCCAACCCAGCAAGAGAGGAAGGAACCAAGGTCGCAAATCTTCCTATTTTGGTACCTTCTTCCAACATGTGGAATAAAATTTAAATGAATCAGCTAGTCCAAGGGCAGGGTTTTAATTATATTCCGGCTTCATTCTCTGCTGACAAGAATGCTAATTTTCTGCTAATTCCCACGTCGAGCACCACGCAGCTCAGAGGGAGTCCCTCAGCGTCTCCTCTGCCCAGGTTACCACCGTAGGACCCCAGTTCCTCCCAGGCTCTCAGTCCATCAGGTTTGAATAAGCAGGATGCCGGGTGGAGGGAGCCAGGTTTCCTGAGAACGTGGGACTGGCCACTGTGAACTGGAGTCCTGTCTCCTTTGATCAGCGTGAGTGGGGAAAGCGGTTCTCAGACTTTTGGATCCTCAGGGAGATGGGACATGAGGGGACCACCTCTGCGTTATGACCAGGAGGAAAAGACGCTGCACCCCACCGGAGAGAGTAATCAGGAAGCTGCTGTTCAGTTTTAAATGCCACAGACTATAACTCAGTGACCCCGTGAACAACCAATCTGACCTGCCCTACCGCTCACCGTCCTCATCATCTAGGACACTTGACTCCATTGCCGCAGACACGGTTTCAGCCCATCTCATTGGTGGTCTTCTCCTTCACTGTCCCCTCACCTTTCCAAGCATGATGTCCCTCTCCAAGGAATAGCCTCTCCTAACAACATGTCCAAAATATCGGACATGAAGCTTTGCCATCCTTGCCTCCAAACGAGCACTCTGATTTCACGTTCTCCAAGACTTACTGTTTGTTCTTTGAGGTGGCCCATAGATACTCAGTATCGATCTCCAACATCACAACTCGAAGGCTCAACTCTTCTCTTCTCATTCTTCCTCACTGTCTAGCTCTCAGATGCATGGCAGATGACTCAGGCACACCGTAGTTGTTTAACTGACTTCACTGCTCTTCAGGAGTTGGGAAAGATCACGGACTTTCCCAAAGCTTTAAGTCTCTCCATCTCCAGCCTGCTGGTCTCAAGGCTGCTGACTCTGGATCCAAGCGAGAAGAAATCATTGGCAATGTCAATCTTTTCTCCATCCGTCACGATGTTGCCTATTGGCCCAGTAGTGAGGATGTTTGTTTCTTTATGTTGAGATGTAACCCATCTTTGATCCTTTGCAGCAAGCATTTCAAGTTCTCCTCACTTTCAGCAAGTGAGGTTGTGTTATAGCACAGGTTGTTGATGAGTCTTCCTCCAATCCTGACACCACATTCTTCTTAATAAACTTCAGCTTCTCTAATGATTTGCTCAGCATACAGATTGAATAGGAGTGGAGAAAGGATACAGCCTCCATGAACACCTTTTCTCATTTTAAACTCAGGAGGAAAGCTAAGCTGTCTAGCGACTGATGGATCTGAACTACAGACCTGTCAACAACAGCCGGGTAAGTTATATAACACACTACGATATGGTGAAGAGATTGAGATTGTTCACAGCTTTAGTTTGCTTGGCTCCATAGTCAACAGTCTTGGCACCAGCAGCCAGAAAATTAAAAGGCACATTGCAATGGGAAAGTCTGCTGTTAGGGACCTCTCCAAAGTGCTGAAGAGCAATGGTGTCTCTCTGGAGACTAAGGTGTGTCTGATACAGGCTATGGTCTTTGCAATCACTTGTTATGCATCAGAGAGTTGGACAATGACCAAGGAGGATAGAAGGAGAACTGATGCCTTTGAGCTGTGGTGCTGGAGAAGAGTATTGAGAATACCATGGACTGCTAGGAAAACAAACAGATTTGTCCTAGAAAGGGTTAAACCGGGTGGCTCCTTGGAGGCAAGGATTCTGAGGCTCCGTCTAACATACTTTGGACATGTTGTGAGGAGACACCGGTCCTTAGAGAGGGACATCATGCTTGGGAGGGTAGAGGGACAGCACAGGAGAGGAAGGCCCTCTATGAGGTGGATTGATTCAGTGACTGGGATAATTGGGATGGGAGTGTCAGAGACAGTGCGATTGGCACAGGACAGAGCGGAGTTTAGGGCTGTTGTACATAGGGTCGCTATGAGTCGCAGGTGACTTGACGGCACATAACAACAACAACAACAACAACACGATATACGTATATATACACACCACGACACACACACACACACTCTATACATATACATATACATATACATATACATATACATATACATATACATATACATATACATACACACACACACACCCATGATATACATGACCTTTTTAAGTGCAGTATTTTCTATTACTTTAAGAAGCTCTAGTTTTCACAACTGATTACACGCTCGCCATATCAAGTCACAGAGATCAGAGATTGAGGGACAGTCCAATGATCATGGTGATCCCCTGCCCCCTGCAAGCAAGGTGACCAGCACTGGCAGCCTCATGTCCATCCCTTTAAAGGGTGACCAGCACTGTGGAGCCTCTCAATTTTTAAATGTTGGAAACAGATTCATATCTTTTAAAGAGTGCTATGTGAATGTGGTGCTAGACCAATGGCTGGGTCTAACCTGCTCAAGACCAGCCTCAAACTCAGGGCAGAGAGGGTACAAGGGGGCAGCCCAGGTCCCTGGGTCACTATGAGTAACCTCCCCAGCTACGTACCTCTAGCCGGTCCACTTTGGCATAAATGCCACTCACTTCTGTCACTTTGGCTTTAAGGAGCGGGATATTTTCCTCCAAGATCTGCAAAGTGTCAGTCCTGATCTGCAAAGAACAAAAAGTTTAAGAGCCCCTCAGTCCATCCCAGCAACCACCACCTACTTTGAGGACCAGCTAGGGTCTCTGCTGGTGACCAGGAACCAGATGGCGACAAACCTCACATCTCTGAGGACCCAGGTCAACCCAAGTTCAACTGACTGACCTGCAAAGAAATGACTGCCCCAAACGCCTAGCAACCCCAGCCTGCACTGGGTATCCTCATGTTCTAAACCACCAGGATGGTACAGACAGGGAATCAACACCTCTTCTCTAAACCAGAACTGACGGCAATCTAGTTCGCTTTGCACTGGAACGAGTAACAGGAACGAGTTGACAGTCTTCATTAATAACGGCAATAAGCCACAGCTCGCAGGCACGCAGATGCTTCTGATAGGCTGGGACTTCCTAAGTTTTCTCCGAGTATCATTTCATCTCATTTTCAGTTTCTTCTGCTTGGAAAGATCGCCAAGTCAACTGAACACTTTACAAAGCCATGCTGTAAACAGATAAATGCAAGACTCTGTTTTCCTTTAAAGCTCGGTCTAATGCTTCAGTGTATGCGTGCATGTATGTGCAAGCATGTATGTGTGTGTATTTTCAGTTTCACATTTACACAACTATGTGCAGAGAAGCAGGGTACAGACCGAGGAATATTCAAAGCTCCTGGAAGATGATGATGAAACGCTGATTCCCAGGCCCTCCAGGGTCTTGGTCTAGTCTGTCCTGCGTTGCTTGGGAATCTCTGGTTTTCAGTCAAGGCTCTCGGGCAATGCTGGAGAGGAGGATGTGGGCACACAAAGCTGGGTCTCTGGAGTCTGAATTCCGCTCTACCCATCATGAGCGGTGTGACCTTGGGTAAGACACTGTGCCTCTCTGAGCCCTCCTTCACTGATCTGGACAGTGATGCAGCAAGGACAGTCCTGGCTTCTGGAACACTATGAAACAAACATGTATAGCAGAGCCAGCCTTGGGGTGTGTGTGGGAGGCAGCTTCTCCTCCCCACGCCTATGAACCCCTCCCCCTAGAAGTGACAGATTTGTGTAAGCTCTTCCCCGGGATGATGCGTGGAAACTCAGTTTTGAAAAACCCTTTCACCCTTAAGTTTACTGTAACTCCCAGCTAGTGCAGAAAACAAGTCTTGAAAAGTCACTTCTCAGTCTAGATTCCACCACTTGGCTGTTCTGTGGTGGTTTGTGTGACGCTGGAAGCTATTCCACTGTAATTATAAATGCCAGAAAGGTTACCCATGGTGGCCAGGTTTCAGGAAAGCTTCTAGCCTAAGACACACTAGGAAGGACCGTCGATCTACTTGCCTGGTTCATATTTCATTCCGTTGCACACAGGGTTGCAACGAGCTCTAAAAAACTCAGTGGCATCAGCAATCATGTTGTACACCATCGAGCTGGAACCAACGCCTACTTAATCTTCTAGTAAATCACACAGACACAGAGAGCCCCCCTCTCTCCTGCAGAGCAGCTAGTGGATTTGAACTGCATACCTTCTGGTTGGCAGCACAATTCAGAGATGGAGAAGACGGCACAAGATAGGGATAAGTTTCAGGCTGGCTGTTCACACGGTCACTTGGCTTGAAGGCATCTACCAAGAACAAGGCCGCAAGGAGCTCAAGGATGAGGAGCAATAATAATAACAACACTAATTAGAAAAGACTATCACCCCATCCTTTCTTTTCCCCTGTGCCCTGGGGTCTCCTTTCCCCCTCTTCCCCTACAAGACTTGCTTTAACAGCTCAAGTTTCCACATTACAGAGGCTCACATGGTGAGGTCCGAAGGGTGGCCTCTAGCCAACAGCACCAAGGACCGGAATCGAACAGCCCATGAAAAATCAAATCCTCCCAACAGCTGGATTCTTACTCAGCTGAGGTTTGAAATGACAGCAGCCACGGCCAACACCTTGACCCACAGAAACTGTCCAATGACAAACGTCACTGTTTGAAGCCATTCATTTTGGGATTTATGACTGTTGTGCAGTGTCTTAGTTACTATCTAATGCTGCCGTGACAGATACCAAAGGTGAATGGCTTTAACAAACACAAGTGTATTCTCTTAGAGTTTAGGAGGCTAGAAGTCCAAGTTCAGGGTTCCAGTTCTAGGCTTTCTCTCGCCCTCAGTTATGGAGCAAAGTCCTTGTTTGGGTCAACATCTGCAGACATGGTGCTCCTTGGAGATCTTCTGGCATCCTGGACTTCCCTGGGATCAAGAAGCTTCCTACCACAGGGGAGGGGTCTAAAGGATGACCTCAACTCCTGAGAAATTCTTTCCCTGGCACTGAGGGCCCTTCTCTCAGTTCACTTCCCTGCCCTTTTATCTCTAATGACATAGAGAGAAGGTGTTGCTGAGCACAGCCTGGGGAATTCCTCTTACCTAGATCTGGACTGAGATGGGATTAAGGGGTGTTGGATTTCACCTTTAATCTGTTCACAGCTGATTTCTCAGCTCCTGGGGGATCATAGCATTGCTTCCACATTTATTATGATATATATGCATTTTGAGGACACACAATTCCATCCATGACACACAGCACTAGAGAGTCAGCACAGGTGAAGGACTCAATTTAAGATTTTAACCTTAAGAATGTGAAGGGAAACCATCCTTCCCTCCTCTTTCTGCTGAAGTAGATGAGACTTCTCTGTGGTGCTTTGGAAATTCTAATTTCCCCACCATGAAGACAGACAGCTCCCCATTGCACTGAGGTTCTCGGGAGCCCTGCCACTAAGCCATCTGCGACCTCACTCACACCTCTCTCCTTGTCTAAACCCAGATCCTCTGTGTCTCACCCTCTGCTTCCTCCTCTCCTCAGGGCACTGCCCTGCCCCCTCCTTGGCACAGCTCCCAGCCTGGTGCCCCTGCACCCTGCTCCTTTGTCCCGTGTCTCAGATCAAGTGTTAGCACTCAAAGAGTGGGGTCTGGCATCAGGCGGCCCTCTTCCACCCTTCTCCCCCATGACTCCAGGCATACCCCTTAGCATCCCTGTGTCTCAGTTTTCTCATCTATAAAATGGGAGTCACACTAATGCATCTCTCAATAAGACTCCAGCCTAAACCAAACACAGTGCCCTCAAGTCAATTCCAACTCAAGCACCTCTGTAGGGCAGAGCAGAACTAACTGCCCCTTCGGGTTTCCAAAGCTGTGACTTTACAGAAACAGACGTCTTTGTCTTTAGCCCAAAGAGCAACTCCTGGGTTTGAACCAACAATCTTTCAGTTAGCAGCCGAAGGTTTAACCACAGTGCCACGGAAACTCCACATGAATATCTTCTAGGTCTGAATACAGCTTGCAAATGTACCTTTTTGAGGCTCTAGAGCTCTGGGTTTGCATTTTTAAATAATTTCCACTTTTAAAATTCCAGTGGGGATTCTAAGAAAAAAATGGCAAGTGATAGAAAAAAACAGTTGGTAGAGGAAAAGGAGAAGTATTAAAGAAATAGAAAAATAGGGTACATCAAAGTACCTAGGAAACAACACAGAAAGCCCCCAAGAACAAAAACTGCGGGGACAGAAGCCACAAAATCAGTAACATAGTGTTAGATTAAGACTCAAAGTATAAAATAAAGATGTCTGAGTCGACAGTGATCTAAACAAATGACTGAAGGAAAAAACAGTGAGGTTGCCATAGAGACACATGTAGCGACCACCTCAACCAACTACCAAGTTAATATTGCAGTGATATCAGGAAACATCACCTCACTCCCAGCCATGATGGGATGAGAAGGCCGTCCAGGACAGAATGGACTCGTCCTGTAGTGTTCCCAGGCTGTGATGTTTAAGGAGGAACCCTGCTGGCACAGTGGTTGAACACACAACTGCAAAACACAACACCAAAAGATTCGTGGTTCGAACCCATGAGCTGCTCCATGAGAGGCAGTCTGCTCCTAGGAAAGTCAGCAGCCTTGGAAGCCTCTGTCACTTCTCCTCTGTCTTACAGGGTGGCTGGGAGTCAATATCGGCTCAATGGCAGTCGGTAATCTTATCTTAGGGCACCAGGGGACTAAGGAGACACAGTTAAAGGCAGCGTGGCAGCCTCAATTGACTCCTGGGACAGAAAGGACCAGTGGAAAAACTGATGGCTCCCAAGTACTGGCTGGAACTCAGTTCCTGGTCCTGGACCAGTGTTGGTGATGTCAGACATCAGCAATGAGAGGAGCTGGGTGGGGAGGACCCGGAACCCCTAAAATTACCTATCTTTGCAACATTTCTCTAAGTATAAAATGACTGAAAAAGAAAATAAACAACTATGGTAAAATATTTTTTCCCCCAGTAATTAAATCTTGGTTGGAACTTCTCTTGAAAAATCAGCAGCTTTGGCAACACTGGGTCTAAGTCCTGGGCACCCAAGGCTGAGGCTGAGCAGCTGTCTTCCTCCACAAGGGGACTGAGCTCACAGGTTTCTAGAGTCTCACGTCAGCCGCACTTGCTCATCTCTGCGCCCTCTCTGGCCCCTGAAGGCACCTGCGTCTATCACCCTGCAATAGTGCAAAGTCTTCAATATCTACTCTCTCTCCCCCGATGGTAAACTCAAGGAGAGAGTCTCACTGCTCACCAAGCTAAGAACAGATCACTAACTCCGTGGCTAAACAGGGCCACGATCAAAGAATCACAAATCTGTTCTTTCTGTTGATCTTCAAAGAAATAAATGTTGTGCCATTTGGTCAGAACCAACTCAAAGCTGAGCCTCCAGCGGGTTTTCAGAGGCAATAAATCACATGGGAGGAGACGGCCCATCTTTCTCCCTCAGAGCAGCTGGGGATTCGAACCACTTGTCTTCAGGTTTAGCAGTGCAACTCCTTCTAGGCCACTAGAACTCCCGAAAGCTGGAACTCGGGATGCAAAGAACTAAAATTAAAAATGGAAGTGAACACATTACAACTGATCCAACCGAAACAGAATTATAACAGACTGTTCTGAATATTATGAATAATTATACAGCAACAAAGTGGGTCATCTAGATGAAATGGACAAAGTCTTAAATGTAAACAGCCTACCCAAACT